AATTTTGGTTCGCTAGGCCAACGAACAAATCTGAACGCTGGACCAGCGCTAAGGCAACGCCCGTGTTTTCGATTTTTTTCCCCATTTTTAGCGCGGTGACGAGCGTTGTTGAATTTCGGTTCAATCTTCCTACCGTTCAATGAATGCTCCAACAGAGTACGGGCGGTGTGACCGGGCCTTTAGGTTTTAATTGGTAAACATTGATCAGATTAAAACCTAGAAATGAATTATTATCGACAATTTTCACTTCTGTTTTGGTTTATAGCAACTTCATTTCGATATATTGTTTAAAAAGTTACCAATTATATTGGTTGTTTGTTTTAAACAATTTTAACCAAACATAGCAGATTCCAATGTGACGCAGAAATTATTTTTACAAGCCCATTTTATATCCGGCGCATACTATGTTTTTCTTTGCATCTGGAAGTATCATTTTATAAACTTTTGTACGATTCTTGAAAATTACAATAAATTATTATCTTAAATATCAATTAATGTTTAGGACAGTATTCGAGTAATAGTCGATGGTTGCCGTTTTTTGGTGGTTTCTTTATTTGATTCTTTGTAAATATGTTTGTAAACATCATCATCATCATCATCATCATCATCATCATCATCAAAACATTGTTTCGAGCGGAGTATCTATAAAAGGTAACAATTCACATCTTACGCCTGTCAAAAACACGATGTGCAGGCATTTAAACCGAAATATCTTTTTTCATAAAAATATTAAATTTCACCAGAAACTTTTTTGTCGTTTTTGTGTGTGTCAAAATACCTACAATCTTAAAATTCTTTTAATACTTTCACAATATCAACTATATGTAGATATGCGATGTAGATCTTAAATACTTAACTTGGACTTTGCGTTCATTGAGCGCCGCCTTTCCTTGTTGATCTTGTTTTTCATATTTGATCAAATATACATAACATACGTCAAAATTGAATTTATCTTTCATTTTTGCTGTGAAGATGGACTTCTATATATACGATTATATGATTGTTTTGTCTTTTACAGCGCATTTAATCATTGATGACACAGCTACTGCGCAGATTTCTTTTCTTTTCTAAAAATGGTATGGCGTGATAAACATTAAATATAACGCAATCACGTGACATAATTTAGATAAATAAAAATAAACCTCCAAAACTTCCGGCGTGTATATCTATAAGTATCAGTCTAGACATATTTGTGGACAAAAACAAAACAATAGACAACCAAGAGATTATTTCAGTATTTTACCCATTATAAGATGATTGCTATCTTCAGTGCGTTAATCGTTAGTATGCTTTATTCAAATTTCCCTGTTTTATATTCATCTTAATTTATATAAATAACATTTTATCTATTAATTTTACTTAATTTTATTGTATTTCATTTATTTATTTATTTATCTAAGAGGAGGACAAATGCCAGTTTTCTTGTAGTTAGTAAACCGAGCCATTTGTCATATTTATGTTTACATTTGTTTTTGTATGATTCATGCAAGAGTACATGTTCGAAAATTTGCAATGGAAAAAATTAAAACTAAATTTTGATAAACAATTGATTACCAGTACAATTTTGAAAATTTATGTCAATACTGGCAAAGTGTAATGTAATGATAATATTTTTATTCCACTTTATGTTTTTAAAATTCAAAATAATACATTTATCTGTTCATCAAAACACAATGAAATAATACCGCTTTTTATAATAAAAATAACATAACTTTTAGGGACGTTGTGACAGCCTAGCGGTATGAAGATTGTTGCATTTTTGGCGGTATTTCAAGCCTCGTTCTGGGAGCCAACGCAGGTAAAATAATTTCAATTTACGTAAAACAACTTTACTTGATGATATCAAAGAAAGCGAAATGAAAACTGATAATTGATGATAATTTTGTACCCCCCCCCCCCCCTTTCCTAAAAAAAACTTAACATGTTTTAACTGATCAAAAACTTATACTAGTGAAGCACCAATTCAAGAAAAATGACTGCTATTTTAAAATATATGTTATTTATGTTATAGGTCTCATGGGATGTCTCATTTTCAGAATTTCTAAACATTGGGTTATAAGTGCCTTATGTACTTAGCTTTTTACTATCGTGGCTGATTTGGAACACTTTTGTGCGTCGTGTTGTCGCTAGCGACAGCACGACAAAACGCCAGGGGGGGGGGCGCATTATCAAACTTTCGTCTTATTGTCTTGTCGCTAACAATGCACGCCAAACGGCGCATTGTCTTGCGGCGTGTTGTTGCGATGTTTAAATGTCGCACCGTTTATCGCGTTTTGCTAGCGATAAGACGACAAGACGGAAAGGTAATAACGATATAGAGTCTGTTTTCGCTATCGACAACGCAACGCACAAGGAGTACCAAATCAGCCACCATAATTAACTGTTGCCCCGAACTCCAACTCAGTGGTAGTATAGTGTACCAATCTCCACGCAGTGATTTCCCATCATTCATAGTTACTGTACTGATCAAGGGAAGTAATTGCTGCAAGGAGTTTGATATTTCGCCGATCTTTCTGGATATCGTATTCCAATATGTTAAGTGTTGAGAATTGAATACAGCTTATGCCGGTTCTTCGGGGCGAGTTGGGGTGCGTGTAAGGTGTAACAGTATAATCCGGCGCTATATGGTTGGCAGATCACGTGATGTTGTATTTTATTTGTATTTAATTTAATATGAAATCCATTAAACACTTAAATTGAAGAAGGGCAATTTCATAACAAAAATCCAACAATTAATAGGCGAACACGAGGTTACTTTTAATTACACATAAAATATTTCATGTAATATTTGTAGTGGCATTTGCATTTATTTGAAATATCTTTCTACAGATTGCTGTAAAAATGGCAGGCTATCATATGAGGGACATTGCTACTACATCGGTTATGAAACCCTTTTGACATTCACTTCTGCATGGGTATGTTCATTTAAAAAAAAATTATGCATGTACATGTATATGTATATTTAGCCGTTTATTTGGAGTTGAAACATATATTTATTATATACTTATAAATGAAATATTTAGAAATATTGATGAAATAAAATGCGTTTTTTCAGTGTCTGTATTTATTTTCACTGTAAAAAATATTTTTCACTGCAGTGACACATATTTTCCGTATTTTCATTAGTAAAAATCATGTTTCAAAAACATTTACATTTACACAGAGTGACAATATAAACAAAGTACTGTAAGTACTGGCAACCAGCAAAGCATGAATTTCGAAATATCAAAAAAGCAAGTGTCAATAATTCTATGAGCAACACAAAAAATGCTTCATTTTGAAATGTTCTAACGCTGATAAAATGTCCTAACATAAAATCCCACTTGCTTGTCATTATTTTATAATTATTTAATAATGTATTTTAATATAATTATATTGTATTTACATGCATTTCATTTCATTACATGCCACCTATATACAATTATAATATTCGCAATAAACTGTCTATTTAAAACACTTTAAGATTCTAATTCATTTCCAAGCCTTATTATGGCCATACGCCGGTAATTAACATGATTTTGAAACGGCCATGAATTTTGACATAGATAAGTAAAGAAATAATAACAAATTTGAAACTGACACAAAAGCAACTACGCAGCATATCTGGATGAAAATATCGTACAATGTTCCCATTTATTTCATTAAGAACGTTTATAAAATGCTCAAACTATTTAGGAATGTTTCATATACAAGTATAACAAAAGTGTCTACTGTTTATATACAATTGCAATAAAGTGTATGTTAAAAGTTTCATGTCCAGCCCCACTTCCCTCCCCACGTCAAACACCCATCCCCAACAGAAAACAGCAAATAAATAATAATAATAAACAAACATAAAGAAGAAAAAACATGTAAGTTTCTCTTTTGTTGTATATTCCTACATACATTGCTATGGTAACATTTTTATTTTTACATCAGGCGCACTGTAACAGTCGGGAGGCTTACCTTGTGCGGCTTTAGACACCTGGCGAATACTTATTCGTGAAAGAATATTTGAAGAAAACTGGAGGTAAAGTTCGTGTAAATTACAATTGCATTGGACCAAATTTGTTCAAAATGACATAAATTAAATGTCATAATTCAAAACATAAATCACAACAAAATTACATGAGAATTGCAGACTCGGTTTGATTGAGTCTGAACATGAGGGATAATGAATACGTGCAACATCCCTCACGCCCTCTAGCACAGGCTTGAGCGGTACTCAATTCTAAATACTTAATAGTGCCGGCATTAATAATCCCGAAGGTGATGAAATAATTAACATAATAAGCATAATTAAAATCATGCAATTACTCGAAATGTTAACATTTAATCTCCTTTTGTGTATGTCATTTTCATAAAAAAATTGCACAGCGATTATTCTTTTCTAGTTTTGAGTCGAAACTAAAAAATCTAAGAGAAGTTTTTTTGCATATTTTTAGCAGGTCAACCCGACAACTCCGGAAACGAAGACTGCGTGCACTGAAAAAGTTATATGAAATTCAAGTGGAATGACATTTGCTGCAGCTAAAAATTCATTCCATTGTGTGAATATGACTTGAGCTAAATCTGTCGAATCAACGGATAGAACATCGTTTTCCCTTTCAGTATAACCTTTGTTTTAGTTCAAAATTTTATGAAAAAATATGTTTTCCTTTTTAATGATTGATAAAGCTATTATGATGGTATGACCTGATATAAATCCAATCCAAATATGCTTAATAATTTATACTTCTTAATCATAACTTGTCTGGGAAGTAACAAGCATTTTTAATATGTTTTAAATATTGTAAAAAAAACATTGAATTATTTTTATTTGTCTATATTTCTTACAGCAACTTCTTAAGTATTTTAGGGCATAAACATTTCTGTGTTTCGGGCAACCCAATCCTACCAAGAGAAACCCTCGTGGCCCTTAATCATATTCCTTGAAATATGTATAGGTCAGCATTTTATTTTGAAACGGATTAAAAAGATATTTCTGACCTACTCGTCTTTTATGAGAATTTCACATCTAATTTTTAGTTCTTGATATTTCGAATGCATTATCTGCAACACAAAAGTTAAAACATTGTAAATTTCAACCAAAACAACTGGCATATTCCAAAGACTTGTTGTGTTCAAGTATGATCAACAATAAAGCAATAGCCACTTTAGTTGAATTTTGGGATAGTTTCCAAGTTAAAAAGAGGGATAATTTTCTTAAACTACGCGGGGCGTTTGAAAAATAATGCAAGCGAATATTTATATCGCACAAAGCGTCAAAAAACCCGTGATAAAAGCAACCACGTGTAGATACATTAACCACTTGTGCGTAACATAGCGAAACATCTCTCTCATAACTTCACTGACCTTGGTACAGTACACGTGTTTTCAAAAAATATGATAAACAAGATCAACAAGGATAGACGGCGTTCAATGAACGCAACCCCTATACGACCAAGCAACAAGAACCAGTGGCAAGGAGCCCACGCGGACCCCAACAAAAACAGGACAGGGCACAAAACTGAGCACGGACAGGTTAATCACTAAAATGATAAATAATTTAAAACTGATAAGGAATTCAAAGAAAACAAATAAATGATTGAATAATAGAAAATAATTTGTAACTGAAAAGGAATTAAAATAAAACAAATAAATGATTAAATAATAGGCCCATAAAGTCAAAGGTCACAGGGGAAGGGGACAGGAAACAAAGCCTACTCGTTAGATTGCATGACAAGAGCTAAAAATGTGCTCGAAATTAGTGCCTATATAAAAGGTAGGTCGATACTTTGCTTGAAAATTACAAATTTTCAAAGAGAGGTGTGCGATATTTATGAGGAGGATCAGCACGGTTTACAGGTCGGTGGCAAACTTCAAGAGCGGGCTGTAGCAACTTAAAGATGCTGCTGGCCCTGGTTGTCCTGCAACAACAAATATCAAATGTAACATTAAAAAATCAGCGATTTGCTCAGAAAAGATTCTAGATTTACCGTAGGACAATATGCCCGATTCACAAACATGTCGTCATCACAAGTAAATTACATTTTAAAGAAGCACCTGAAACTAAAGAAAATCAAAGAACGATGGATACCGCATTATCTGACAAATAAGCAAATGAGGATCCGTCGCAGTAGCCAAAAAAAACCAAAACGGCCTTTGATGGCCTAATTACTTGTGATGAGACATGGGTTTACTTTTAAGACCCTAAGCGGAAGTGTTCAAACAGAGTTTGGGCAACAAGAAATGCTAGACGCCCTATTGTTGCCACGGTCAAGAAACTATGCTTGGTGAGTGTATAATTACATTTTTGCTTATCATGTTACTGATCAAGTGAAGAAAAGGAACACTGAATGAAACATAACTTTGTTGACCTCCTCTTTTGGGTATCTCTACGTGGTGAGAAGGAGTTACATATGTCCGTTATGGGGTGCGCTGTTGTGAGCCTGTATGACGGACATACCCTGACTGCCTGTTTGCCGTGGGCAGCGTCCCGTAACCTAGAAAAGAGTGTCCTGGTAGTTGAAGGATACCCAGAGATCTCCAGTACTCCTAACACACTGTTTTGGCCTCTGATTTAAGGTAGACGGGTGACCAGGTGAGCCCGGCTTTTTGTTGCTGGGTCGGGTGGGGGTTTCGTTCATTGAACGCCGCCTTTCCTTGTTGATCTTGTTTTGGTCAATCGGCTGGTCATGCCTTGGATATAAATTTCTCAAATACTTGGAAGATTTCTTTGAACTTACACGGCCCCGAAATGAATACAATTCAATGCACAACTTTGATTATTTTTAGAAATAATTTTTGGTAGAATGTATATGATTTATTCAGTTTTTTTTTTCAAAATAATGTATGCGTATACAATACTATTTATATCCAAATAAGTTTGTGTTATGTTTCGAATGACAACAAATAATATCATTGTGCTGTAATACTTTAATTATTGCCCTCATTTCATCTTAGGTTTAGTAGACTGTTTTTTATATTATAAAAGTAATGGTAAAGCATTGAACAGAAGTGCATGTACTTGTACGAAAGTTTCAAGCAATAAATACCAATTCATAAAATTCATTAAACCAATGAAATTTGTCTTTTTTGCTACCTCTATGAAATATGAAAATAATGACTAATAATAACTATTATCCATATTTTTATACTAGAATTAAAGGCATTTTATAAAAAAGGATTATTAAAGGAAATGAACAGAAAATACAGCCATAACCTATACATCAAAGTAATGTAATAATATTGCTTTGTCCTTTCATGTTAATATGTGAATAGTGAACCATTGCACCAGATGGGCCTTTATAGAAAGCATGTTAAAGTTTCTGAATATTAAGTTATTTGTTGCTGATTATATTTATGTAGAAAATTATGTTAATATATGATCAACATAGCAAACACTCTTAGTCTAAAGAAAAAGAGGTTGCGAATGGCTAATACATGCTTTTACCTTTTTGCAGGTATAATAACAATGTCAACGGTTTCTCCATACTTTTTTCCAAAAATATTATTAAAGAAGGGTAGTGATTATCTCAACAAGCACTACATCTAAGTTCTGACAATTCACTGCACATAGATTTTTTAACAATTGTGAATTGTAATACTTTGTTTCTTTTCATTAAACACTCCCATTGATTGGACTTATAAAACAGTGACGCTAAGATAAAATATGTTAAACAACTTTTCTTTGTTATTTAAATGACAGTAAATAGTGAAATACATAAAGAGAATACTCAAAGAATATCAGAAACATCAGATGTAGTTAAAGGAGGGCAATAAATAGGATATGCAAATAACTGAAACAAGTAGCACTGCGAAAAATATACTGATATACGGGAATATACGGTCCCGTATTTTTGACATGTACGGGCGTGTACGGGATGTATTCGTCGAATATACGGACCAAGTATACGAGTCCGTATAGGGAACACCGGGTATACGGGAAGTCCGTATATGCATCAGGCATATACGAAATTCCGTATTTGCCCCATATACATGTACGTATATTTGTTCGTACTTTTGAAGTATACGGAGTATAAAATCCCGTATACGGACTATATTAAGGTTGTTATCTCTAGTATACTATAAATATACCAAGGATATACGGGACCGTATTTTCTACATATACAGAGGATATACGGACTCGTATTTTCTAAGTATACAGAGGATATACGGAACCGTATATTCTACATATACAGAGGATATACGGACTCGTATTTTCCACATATACAGATGATATACGGAATCGTATTTTCTACATATACAGAAGATATACGGAATGGTATTTTCTACATATACAGGGGATATACGGAATCGTATTTTCAATATATACAGGGGATATACGGAATTGGATTTTTTAGTTGTCCACAGGGAATACAGAACTGTATTTTATTGATAAAAGAAGATACAGATAATATCAAAAGCATGCATTTACATATAAGTGGCACGTATACATGACCAAAATGCAGACTTGTACAATAGAACATGTTTTATTACACATTTTGAATGGGATCTGTAAAGTCATATGCTTAAGAACGTTATCTTCACAATTGGAGTATTTCAAATAATAAAGTAAAAACCAAATCGAGTCACTTTTAAATATTTATTACTTCATAAACATATATGTATACATATATTAAACAAAATAAACATGTCTTCGCTACAACAGTCATATATTGTTGCAAGCCTTATTCCAGAGGGACAAATTAATGTAGAGTTGCAACGGAACGGCGATATACCGGTATGTTGTGATACAGAGTCACGAAATACGTATCACAGTGGAGAAAATCCGCACTGCGATATTTTCTTAAGAGATCGAGTTATACATGTACATGTTTCGATATTTTCAAGTCGTAACCTTTAGGAATTGCATGTTGTTTAAATGTAAAACAAACTATACCAACTTGAAGTTCGATTCTATTTATCTTAACAATGACTTTTATGAGCCACTTGTATTACACCCATAAAATATTTTAAAGATATTCATATCATTTGTTCGTGTTAACATTCACATATTATTTTAGGAAAATGAGTCCATAGCACAAATTGATTATTACAGAAAGTTTTAATACTAATCATTAAAACTAAAAATCCGTATTCACAGAAATTCGTCATTCAAACACAGTTCTTAAAAGCACTTAAATATATCAATCATCAATAGGAATGTTACGTAGACCAGTGTGACGGTGTCTATTTCGTGACGTAGGAAATGTTATCTCCAGATATTACAATCTTCTTCGGCATGTGTGTATCTGAAAAAGAGAGTTCAAAATCCTGTTTAAATAGTGTCGTGAAATAGTTATCACAACTTTCAAAAAGACTATACACAAGCATTTTTTAAGCGTATACATATATACATTTTTTTTTCTAACGCAAATTTCAAAAATATTTTATATTATTAGGATTAAGATGTCATTTATATGCAACCATTTACACAGGATTTAAATGAAATGATTAATCTATGACGGGTGATAAGTTATATGTTTTTGTTAAAAAACCGTAACGAATATATTTATTTCACACCTGTAATATAAATGATAATGGTATCTTTGTTCTATGTAAAGAGTGTTTTATTGATTAAAAATATATTAATACAAAATAACATTGTATTGGGGAAAAAAGTGCTGACATAATCTTTTTGATCGTTTTACGATGTATATTAGCATCGTTAGTATGAGTCAATTCGTTTGAAAAAGGCTTAAAAAGTACAGATATTTGTTACTCAGATGTAGATCCGTGTTTGCACAATGATATCCAGTTAAGTAAAAGGGCGGAATTACTCAGCTATACTTCTCATTATATAAAAAAAAACGTTAATCTTAACAAATTTGGATTATTGTTTGTTTCAATTTCAATTGTTTCAAAAAGCTATCTCAGCAACGAATGAATACCTTCAATAAACAATAGTGTAGATTAATATTTTTTATTGTTAAGACTGTTTAACTAGGTAAGTTGACAATAGAATCTCTTACAGTGTGCCATCTCTAAAAATAAAGTTATAATTCTCACGAAATATAAATCAAAATATCCTCCCTTGCCTATAGCATTAATCTGATAGTATGAAATCAAATTCAGATAATAAAATATACGTATCATATGTGACAATTGCATAAAATAACATAGGAAATATTTTAGTTAATACATGCGAATGCGACTATTACGTGCGCACGTGAAACATTTACGTATCAACACAATATGTTTCACGTGCGAACAAGTACTGTGCGTTTAGTATGATAATTAAGTGACGAGGTGGTCAAGTCCACTATCCAGGTGTAAAACAGCTATCATATTGTGTTTATTATCTTCAATCAGGCTAGCTATATAAATTTAATTATCAACAAATTAACCAATGTAATGCAGTAGGTAAGGTTGTGGTAAATATCAATGCAAGACAGTTAGGCTCGGATTGCACCTTTTTTCCCAAAAATATTGCTTTATAGTTATCAATCAGGTAATGAAAGTTCTGTATCATTTATTGTAAAGATGTGATATTTTCTATTAACTTCTCATTTTGTTTTAAATGTAGCTATATTTAGCCCTATTTAGCAAGTTGGTGCAAACTTATACGGAATGCATGATACTGTACACAGACTGTGTTAAGTTTGCACGAAATACTATTGCACTGCAAAAGTACTATGACTACTACATACTACACACTATACAGATAAAAATCACTATCATCCGTGCATGTATATCTAAATTATTAAATATCATAACAAAACTGCCTTTCTATCCCAATTCATTTTTCTAATGTAAAATTTAAAAAAAATATATGGAAAGAAAAACGCAAAAAAGTAAGACAACTTGTGAGGCTCAAACTTGTGATAAAATTTAATGTGTATGACATTCTAACTTTTCCATCAAGACATTTTAAATTCTGTTTCTTATCTGACATTATATTCGCTTTGAAAACCCCGTTTTACCTATTAAGACAAATGTTGTTAACTTTAGTGTGCATGTACAAAAGAAAATGTAAAGTCACTCTCACATTATCAAAGCGGCGTACTTATCGCTTTACGCACGTAGTAACTAAAAAAATTACTATCATTAACATATATAAAAGTGATTAAACTGTAATGAAATACATATTTTTTGATACAGTAATATGTCTAAGAAAAGAAAACTAATTTAATAAAATAAAGTCGCATGCACAGTGCATCTATATCAATCCACTGTGTGTGTTCGAGTTAATTCTTATATTTTATATATTTGATTTTTGCATATTAAAAGCAAGTATGGTTTAGAATTTTCAAATGCGCGGCAAAATGCTTATATCATATATGCCTTTAAGTTAATTGACATCATTTTATGAAATGTGACATCATTCCGCCTAAGAATTGATTCTAACAAGATATAAAAGAGAACCAATGTATTTACAACTAAGCACATTTATTCTTGTCAAAATAAATGCGTGTAATTAAAGAAATTTGACTTTGACTTGAGAAAGAATAAAACACATGATGTTAGTACAGTGTGGAATATATGAGTCTTGGTAACTCTACTTTACAGACAGTACGTCCGTGTAAATGTCTTATTTTATTTACAAAACACAACAATGTATATACGTGAACTTATATCTATATAACTTGCTACCATACTTTGCTTCATCTACAATTGCTGTAAAGAGGGCACAGCTGCATTTCTAGAAGTTTAACTGTCCTGAAAAAATCATAATATAACTTCAGCATAAAATGATAAAGGGCACATTGAAAATATTTCATAAGTGATCACATGTGCGAAAGTGTTTTTTTTTTGTTTTTTTTTTTGTTTTTTTTTTTTTTTTTATTGATCAAATAAATATATAAACATTGTATTTACAGCATGGGTATATAAACATATAACTACAAATGAATTCAAAGTAAAAAACAGAACATATCATAAAAGAAAAAATAATTCATTTTACATACTACACTCGTTCATCTGCACTCTCTCACTGCAGTCTGCGCTTTTGATATTGTTATTGATCATATCTATTCATCTTTTCAGTCATTTACTTATCTCTAAAGCCAT